CACTCTCGCCATCATAGTGTGCCGTCGTCGTATAAATCAAGCGGGAATAGTAATAATTGTATTTTTGTTTTGTTTCGAAAGGATCGAAGTTGGCGACGACGCGTAAATAAACAATTTGTTTTATCATTTTTTCCGTGGTTTTAGAGGCGGGCGTGATTTATGTGAGTCGTTGTCGGTTGTGGTGACAGTGATTTTTCAAAATTTCCGAGATTGTTTTGAGTTTCGACGAGTCAAAATGAACGAATTACCGGTGGCGCTGAACTTTACCGACCGTCCTGATAACAATAATATCCATCCACACATTTTGACAGCGGTAAGTTGTTAATTAATTTGGTATATAGATATTGTCTAAAAAGTGGTCCAATTGTTGAGATTATTTCAAAAAACATTTTGAATGAAATGTCATCGTTTTATCTTAAATAGATATATAAATGCATATAAATTTAACAAAGAAAAACTGGCTAAGTTTTGATTTTGACAAAGTCAAGTGACCATTTTCAGTTGAATTTTTATTTTCGCATGTACCTACAATAAATACATATTGTCTCGTCAAGTACGGTTGAAAAAATAATAACATAAACATATATTTTGATTTTTTAAAAACATCAATACCTATACAGGGTGCTACAAATTAGGTATCGAGGTACGAGCATTGTTATCTCGGTAACCGTAATAGATACGAACCTGGTTAAATTGGGACAAAGCTGCCGTATTGGGATCTTCACCAAGATGCCATCAAAAAAGATTTAAAAATTTCAAGGATTGCTGAGTTTTTTGGAAAAAACTGATTTTTTTGAAAATTAATTTTATTTATTCCTGTCGTTATTTTATAGAAAATCAAAAAACTAATTACACATTCTCATAGCCACTTTATTAGGGCTATCTAACAGTATTTTTAGATTTTCAAATTAGCTGACAATTTGTGAGATACAGAGACCAACTTAATTTTTTTAAATACGGACCTGCATTTTTTATTTCAGGTTTTGAAAGAACTCGCTCTCCTGAATACAATGATATGCCACACTTTATACTTTTTTTTGTTTTGGATACCTTAACGCAGCATCAGTTGATTTAAAACTTTACCACCTTGGTTTCAACCATATCGTAATGAGCTATTTAGTATTTACGCACCCATTTAAAAAATAGATAGCAATCAATGTACCTATCTAATAAAGTAAAAAGATTTCAGTTAACGTCTCCTTTTTGCTGCCATGGCTAATCTGGACGGGGCCTACTTTGTTTACGCGGAATCCGAACCGCGGTCCTCGGCCATATCATGGTCAATAGCCTACCGACTTGGCCAGTGTCTAAATCGACTCTTACTCACGAGATATCCGATCTCATCCGGCCTCGAACCGGCGGGAATGAGCAGTGTGCAGCACGATACAGAGTTTCGAACCGGTCACCCGTCCATCCACTAGTATCGCCTTACGTCGCTTAACTTCGGTGTTCTAATGGGAACCGGTGTTTCGACGTAGCTGAGCCGTTGCCCTCCTATCTAATAAAATAATGCCCAAAAAAATGTTTATTAATATGGAAAGGGCACGTTCACAAACGCATTTTTTTCTTTTCTAAATTTATTTTACATCAAGTATTGTTTAATGCTCTGACCAATAAGTCAACATAGAGAATAGAAGCTCTAACTAATATTTTTAATTTGTAATCAATGACAGTAATTAGTCTGTCCAACTAGCCAGAACAGATTTCAACAGGTGGCATTCAAAAGATGATAAAAAATACCGTATGATCGAAAAAAAACGGCGTACAGTTGGCTTGGAAATACACTTTCCTATACAATTTTCCATATAAAATGATAGCGACCTTCATTTCCGAGCCATCTCTGGCGCTTTTTTCTCGATCGTATTGTACAATTCACCTGTGAATTAAAATGGCAGACACTGTCATGGCTTTCATGGGTCGTCTCGTTGGACATACTTTCTCACTATATAGATATAGATAATGTAAAACGAACTGCATAAAAATGAATTTGAAAAACTTGGAAAATAGAAGAGAGTTGATAATTCTGTTGTAAGATGATTTTTTTTTAAAAGAAATGAATTGTGAAAAGTCTAAAAAGTTTACTACTTTATTTTTCAAATTTAGCCATAAAAAAAATACCTTGGCATTTTCTAGCATTATCAAGTAAAGTTTGTCCATCGAGAGGTTCCACGACAATGACAGTTTTCCTGTCACTTTACTTCACTGGTAAATTGTATTTTGTCTCATTTTTAGGATATCGTCTATACAAGTTTCCTCCTTACTCCTTGCTATATTCTTTGGTATTCTCTGACTCGTTGGTCAGACAAAGCAAGTGAGATATCTCGCTTCTACTGAATTCTGAATAAATAATAAATTTTACTTTAGATTAAATAACTAAAAGATATATCAATCCAGTATAATAATATGGTACAAATATAATGGTACGACGGAGTTTTCACCACCCTTCCGAACTCTTAACTCACCCACCGTCGCTTAACTTAACTTAACGGGAACAGGTGTGTAAACGCAACTTGAAACTTGACCCATTACATATAGAACATAGATTCTATATGTATATTATGACTATCATAAAATTAAAAATTATTTAAATTATATTCGGAAAATTTTTATTTAGAAATAAATCTAATTAAAATTAAAATTCTAATTATTTTTACTTATATTTTTCTGTAATATGCATTTTCTATATTAAAACGCCAAAAATTACCCATTGTGTACTCATTATATTTAATGAATTCACGACCAGCTGGGGTCA